AATATCTGCTTCAAATTGTAGTAATCATTAAATAACTATTGAGTGAGATGCAAAATCAAGGTACTCAGATAGCTCATTCATATTGCAGTAACTGCTAAGGCAAAACAGATTTAAGGTCAAATTTTTATAAAATATAAATGTAGAGAAATCTTTTGCAATTCTGCATAGAGATAGATAAAATATAATCAATCTTTACTTGAGAATTTACCATTGACGATTACTGATGAATCTGCAGAAGTCTGCTGATTGAAGATGTATACTTACTACTAATGTTAACAAATGATCGTTGCTGTTTACTAGGGGAAAAAATATTTTAATCGAATTTCTGGTCTACAAAATAAATGAATCTCATATTAAAGTTTATTGCACAGTGATGAGATCAAATGTTAAAAATAAAATATGCTACTATAATTTCAGTTAAATTTCATTACCAACAAGGATATAAGTATTTTATTTCATTTTAAGAATCATTTTAAAAATGGCATTAAAATTAAATAACCAATAAAAGAAAAATGGAAATTTATTTATGTTAAAAGCAAATGAAATTTTATTTGGAAATAAAAAAATACTTCCAATATATTTCTTTTTTCAGTTCTTTAAATTAGTCAATAAATCAAAAACTAAACAACAAATAAAATTAAAAATCTTTGAAATAAAATAACATGAACTAATGCAGGATAATGATATAAAAACATTACTGACTAGGATAATATATATAATTTGTAAATACTCATTAAGTTAAAACAAAACAGGCAAAAAAAAAAAAAAAAAGAAAATAAGCAATATATTATTGATTGAGCAAATTAATGGAGTAGCAAATTATAAATAGAATTAACTGAATTTTTTTAATTAAAATTAAAAAAATATTTAAACTAAAAGTGGAATTAAAATATTTTTTTACCATATTACGTAAATTAAAATGTAGTAGCATAAATGGCTAAAAAAGTAGAAAAAGCTGCATTTTTATTTTCACACTTACATTGTAAGGAGGAAGTAAAACTTTCTTGTGATAATACACTTTTTCCTGCAAATTTAATCCAAGACACTGAGTTTATAGCATAAATACTTGCAGTACCTTGGAAAAATTTAAAACTCCTCCCCTACAAAACAAATCTAACCCATGAAAAAAAAAAAAAAAAAGTTACAGATTTTAAATTATGTCCAAAGGGGCCTTTTTTTTTATGTTTTGTGTGTTACTTTTAATTATTAAATATCATGTTCTACGTATGCAAACTATAAAATTCAGTTCAACAGCAGTATCACAAATTAATTTTAAATTTAGCATATCTTTAGTATTTCCGAGACAGAGTCTCGCACGCTGGAGATAAAAATGTTTTGTTTGTACAGTATTGCCATTGCTTGTTTTGAAATTGTTTAGTTTTTTAATCAAAAATTCGTTGAAGTGTTACAAAATATGAAATTGATAATAAAAAATTTCAAATTTTGATGGCTCTAGGTACTGTTGTTTTATCACAATGCAAGAAACATACATACATACATTTATGCAGATTCTTCATTATTTAATTTCTTTAAATATAAGACAGGGCAATAATATATGGTGGCAACGATTTGAAAAGTGATACAGCCTTTTAAAGCTTTTGACGCAAAATGCCGAAACAAAATTATAGTCCTTCGGGGCAAATTGCTCCTTTGGACTAAAAAAAATTACATATTCAATAGTATCAGTCCTATACATGTGAATAAAAGTGAGACTTTCAAATAAATATTAGAAAAGAAAAAATACTTACAACAGTGAATGCAGGGGCAAAATATAATTACTAGCATCTCATTGAACCTATTGTAAAACAAATGACCGTTAGAATCTAGAATTTTTGAGAAGAGACTAAAGAATGCACAGCCATGGTTGCTTTTGACAAATTTTTATCCTCGCCATATAATATTTGTGAAAAAAAACTGAAGCTTTAAAAAATTAATTTGATAAAGTAATGAAAAATGAAAATTAAGTAGCAAATGATAAAATGGAAAAAATCTTGCTAATCAGCAAACAATAATGACTAGGAAAATTAAACATTGCCTGTTTTTTTAGTCAAAGAAAGAATAGGTATATAAAGAAATAGCATATATATTTTACAAAAATAATATTATTTACAGTTCTATGAAATTCTTTCTCACATATCTGTACCATTCCTCCTAAAAATAAAAAGATGAAATCATTTTTAAATCAATCCATATTATGTGATTTATAATAACACTGATGATAAAACTAATTCAGAACTTAAACCAAAACTTTCTCTTAATAAGCTGCTATAGTGGATAACTGCATACTTTTGTTTCTGTCTCTATTCTCACCAAAACGCTGTATTGCTGCTTTCTTCCTATTGCAACAATATCAAAAATGAAATGTTCTTGAATAGACACGAGAGTGCCAAGTGAATTGTGGCCTCAAATATCAGTTGAAATAAAAATTAATATTTAATCTACGTCATCTGTCAAGTTTGCTTTCTAGTATGGATCAACACACTACACAATCAAAATACCTACTGTTCATTACTTATAAGTTTGCTTTATTACAATGTGTGATTGTTTTATTACATTATATATATGTGTGTGTGTGTGTGACACATGGTATGCAATGAAATCCCATGAATAAAAAATCAAATAAATTTTTATTAATATATGGGTTTCAGAATAAGTTTTTGAAATTTATGCCTATCCCTTCATGCTAATGCTGAATTAATTTTAGTTTTGTGTCTTTTTGAAATTTTTTTTATGTACTGCCCACTTGAATTAATACACATATTGCTCCAATGCAAAATATAAGATTGTTTTATTTCTTTCTCATGTATGTATGTAATGAGTTTCTTGTATATTACCTTAGTAAAACATAAGATGTTTAATATATCTTAGGATTTAATTGGTTTCTGATTGCTTAAAAAACTGAGTAATTTAAAAATGAGTGCCCTTTTTAAAAATTTGAAGTATTTTATTTTTTAATAATACATTTATATGATATAAATCAAAAGACATTTAATATTTAATGCATTTAATATTTAATTCATCCAATGTTAATTTGTATGAAATTATGCATCATTAGTGTCATTAATAAAAGATATTTCTAATAATGTGTATTTTGTATCTAATACAAAATGTTGTGCTTCCTCAATATTATAGCCCTATTTTTTAAACAAGTTGCCACCATGTGTGTTGCCAAGTTCATTTTTTAATGCTGACATACACTTTGTGGCTGCCATGCTTTTGTAATTGCTTTTTATATATGACATTAGAAGTATTTTTCTTGCCAAGCACTTTCACAAATGCAAGGTAAAACTCATGATTTTTTCAAACTGTACTTCATTGATTTTTTTTATTCTGCCACATAGCAGAGCACCACAGTCTTTGAACATTTTGTGTGTGAGTCAACAACAGTTGTTAGGAATTTATGGTTCACAGTAAATGTTTCTAATGTACTTTTTCTAGTTCCTCTGTATTATATGTCTATCAGCGGTCTGAATAAATCACTGATCTCTCTTGTACATGGTCAAGGATTTTTGCTATGAGTGTGTTCGCCTCACTGTTTGAAACCTCTGCAAGGAGGAATTCATCAATTTCTGAAGTATTAGGGAGCAACCGTGCCAGCTTTGTTTTTCCCCCCATAAAAACAGATTTTATTTTTTTTTTATACTGAAAAAGTTTTTAGTCACCTATGTGCTAATCTGCTTTTGAGATCTGATGTAAAGAATACAACTTTTTAATAAAACTGTTCCAATCAATAGTTGTATTTTTGTAAAGGTTGAGTTGCTTCCCCCACTGCTTAGTTGACATCAGTTCCTCTATCCAGTATTGTATAAATCACAGCACTTTTACAAACAGTATTTTGAAACTACTGAAACGGCTCTCAAAATGTATGCTTTTTTTTTCACTTGCAGTTCTTCATGTTGCATCTCCAAATCCTTTCATTAAAATGTAGTTTTACTTAATGATCATTTTTACATATTCAAATGTGAGGTAAAAAACATATTTCTTGAAAGAATGCCGAGCATCTTTTCTCACTTCTCGATAAATCAAACAGTTTAAGCAATTATTTGAGAAACAAAAGTATTTTAACACATAGAATACTCCAAGCTTTTCTCATGATGAGAAAATTTTGAGTGATCATGAGTTGTTATCATTTATATGAAAAAAAGAAATAAAATAACACATGATTTACTCAGTGTTCTTTTCTTCCTAATGAAACTCATTGTTTAAGACTGCCATTCATTTGCCAATTTATCATTTATCTCGCTGATGCTTACAAAACCAGGGCTGTATTTTTTTCATTTCTTTGTAAATTCTTTTTCTTGCTAGAAATTGTTTTAATCTTTAATAGCTTATGAATAAATTATCAAGTCTGGAGAATTTATTATTTTTTGTTTATGTATTAGTCAAATGCAGCTGTTTAACCAGACAGTTGGCAGATCTGCTCATGAAGAATTGCATTTAAACAGCATTTATTAGTTTGTTTTCATAAACTTTAATTCAGTAGAGTTTATCAGGATCTGTAACCAGTATAAGTAAGCAAAGTATTTTAAATAACAAGCTAATATATGCCAAATGTCAACAAATCTCTAGACTAATAAAAGCAGTCAATCTGTTCAGAGGCTTAAGGGCTGCTTATTTATATTGCAAATATAAATGCTACAATGCCTGACTGTAAGGTGGTACTTTTGCCTCTTCTGAATGTGTCCTTTGGAAGAAGATATCTGTCTTATGTGCTGAATTTAACATTTAAAGAATGCATTAAAATACTTTATCACATTAGTTCACATTTTTTATTCTAGAAAATATTAATTTAGTTTATTTAATTATTGAAACATAGAACACATTTAACATATTATGCTTATATATATGCTATAATTTTAAACACAAACCTCTTTTTTTCCTTGTAAAACACTTTCAAAATATAAGCCATTATGTTTGAGGCCATCTTGTATTTAGGCCACTGTAGTACTTAAAATTTATATTGTAGATTAATTTTTTTTTTGATATTATGTATATTGTAGGTTTTTAAACCTGCTGATCGAGCCAATCTATTAGATGATGCTTTGACACTTTCAAGGTACTTCTGAAAATTTATTAGAATATATATATGTATTTAAAACAGCATTTTTAGCTTCTTAACATAATTTTTCTTTACCTTTTAAGTTAGCACTTTTTTGTTACTTCCTTGTTTGTTTTTATCTAAAACTTTATGCAAGTAAAACCATTTTAATTTTGATTGAATTTCTTCTATTTTGTTTTGTATCAGTGAAACATTATTTTTTACATTTTTTAAGAAAAGGAATTCATATATAAAATTCATTCACTCTCTATAATTCAAATGTAGTTTATATCAAGTTAAATATTTTATTTTCTACAATTTGAAATTTATTTTAGAGTGGGCATTTTGGATAGTGCGCTGGCTCTTAACCTCACTCGTTATTTAGAAAAGGAAGAAGATTATGTGCCATGGGAAACAGCAATTTTGCAGTTAGAAGTATTAGATGTGCTTATGCAAGAAAGTCCTGCTCTTTCATTATTCCAAGTAAAATATTTTCTTATTTAATTTGATAGGATTTGCAACTTAATATGATAAGATTTTTGAATTATTGCATTTTACTTGTTATTGTTACATTTTAGCACTTTTAAATGGCATATGTGATTTGAATAAGTAGTACAATATAACAGATATTTAACAGAATAAGATTTAACATTGCAAACTATTTCATTTAGTTTATCACTTTTTTTAAAAGACCCATCCTAAGATGCAAGCTATGAATGTTGCTTAGTCAGTATACACTAGTAATAGAGAATTCCAGTATTAAAGAAACAATACCAAAATATCTTCCAAGGAAAACAGTCAGATTTTGTTATTTCTGATTTTCAAAATGTGTGGTGTTACTCAAAACTCTAATTTCAAAACCTTTGAAAATGTGCATAAAATAAGTCATTGACAAACTAAAATCACTAACTAAAAACACTTATTTTTTTTAGTGAAGTAAGGGTGAATTTATTTAAAAAATGGCTGTCAGTGTGTACTTATGTAACTTTCATAGGTTGTCTCAAAAAGTTTTCATGACAAAATATTTTGTAAATGATTATTCATAGGCCCATGAATCAAGTTTCACATAACATTCTTTTTCTGTGTTTCATCTTCCTGTCCTTTTCATCATCTTTTTCCTTTACCAGTACCTGCTAGATTATTTAATCCTCATCTTGAGAAAATGTGGTGGGAATTGAATTGTCTACATCCATCCAAGGATCTAATCTACCCCCAATATGTAACTAAATTCAAGATTTTAGACATGGACGTTAATGTTTTTAAATCAAAAGAATCTTCATCACTTGCATCATCATCTTGAAATTACTATAGGCCACAACTTATACCAACAGCAAAGTAAAATAATGTTTACATCTTTCCAGGCGAAAGCCAAAGTAAATATGACATTTTTCATTGTGAGCTGTTTCTGAAAATCATGGGCAGTAATTTCAAATTCATACTTTGACATTTAAAAAAAAACATTGACATTTAAAAAATCTTTACATTCTGAATAATTCATTGGCTAGATAAAATTTGTTACATTGGACAGCAGCAACATAACACATACATTTTCCTCATTTAAGTATTCAGTTTAGCCCATTATATTTTTCCCTTTTTTAATCTTAGGCCTAAATTTCAAATTCAAATTTATATCTTCAAAAGTACTATTATGATGTTCTCTGGAAGCTGCATGCTGATTACGGGGAATTTCATGATATATAGAACCATCTCATTCAAAATTTTACATTCTAGGCTGTAGTCTCACAATAAGTGTGAACTGTTCCATATTGCAATAATAAAAAGCTAATTTCTCATAGTGTTCTAGGAATATTCTCATAGTAAGTGTTTCTCATAGCTTAGAAGGAGGAGATCTTAGGTCACAGATGGTGTTATTTAATTTCTAGTTATGCAGATAGACAATTTCTAAGGCATCTAAAGTGTGAGAGAATGCGCTTGTTCATAATATTGAATAGCTTTTCCTTCTTGAACTCTAAATCATTCATTTAGATATATCATTCCAAGCTATGTCAATTGATTTCTTAGTTTTGCAGAATTGTTGGTGAATGTTTAGATGAAATTACAGCTTGCATGTTGTAATGAAATATTGAGATCTACTTGAGTATTTCAGTAGAAGATGTAGTACAAAGATGTAATTGTATATAGAATATGGAAATTCAGTTTTCTGATAAATTTACATTAATCCGGTTGCTGCATCATCATCATTGATATTTTGATTCATCATTGATCTATCTTTCATTCTGTAACATATATTAAGTGTAATGCATAAAAAATCGAATTAAGAAGTAACTAGGTTTTAAGTGCATTGTTGTACTGTAAGGTAATTGTTAAATGATTTTTTTAATTAATTTATGAATTTTTTAATTTAATTTAAAAATAAGAATTATAACTCTTTACCTTTTAGAAATATGTGATGAAATTATTAAAACCTGTAGTTAGTGCTCTTGGATGGCAAGATAAAGGAGACCATTTGGAAAAGTAAATTTTTTAAGTTGGAACTTAATTTTTATTATTTTAATATTTGGCTAATACATTCTTTTCAATATATGTGTGCTTTCTTTCCAGAAAACTGCGTTCTGCTGTATTAGTAACATCCATGCGCTTCCATAATGAAGAAACAATTTCAAGAGCTAAGCAGTTATTTCAAGACTGGATGCAACAACATGAAAAGTAATAGTATATGTATTTATTTATATGCTTATATGTAAGAATACTTGTATTTTTTTAATTCATAAGCTGAATTTTCATTCAAGATCTTTTTATTGTGAAGCTGTGTGATACAGTACAAAGTCTGTAATGCGGACATCCATTATCCGGAATGATCTATAATCCAGACCTCAAAGCCACAAACTTTTTTTTTTTTTTGGTATGCTTTACGCATGCACGTTTAATGTTGCGCATGCGCGTTTAATGTTTACGCATGCGCATTTAGCACAAAAAACGAAGCTACTTAAACAACTTACATTGAAAGAAATGTTTAATAAAGTAAACAAATAAATATTAAGCATTTTTGTGTGTGTGTAAATTTTGATACACTTTAGATCATAATTGCTCTTTATTTCATAAATTACAGTTTCATATTTTTAACTGTATAATTTCTAAATGCCATCTAACCAGATTTAAATTGATGATCTATAATTCGGAAAAACCCTTAATCCAGAATCGCCGAAGTCCCAACGAGTCTGGATTACGGATTTTGTACTGTATATATTAATTTTGTACTGGAATCATGCTGCTCAGATGGAAAAACCGAAGGGCCTGAGTGCGAATCCCAGAAAAAGCAGGAATGTAAATTGTCTCTCCCTTTATAGAATGCAACAGGGGCTTACCTGTTAGGTGCCTTCATGATAAAGTGACCACCGCTTCTAGCCTTAGTAGCGGCCAACATCTATGATGACTAGTGCCTGCCAGTGGAAAAAATGTGTTGGAACCATTGTCATGATTTTTTAAATTTTCAAAAATTAAACTTTTTTTTAAGACCAGCATTTTACATAACATATTATATTTCAGAATTTGAATGAAAGTAGTCTGGCAAAATTATAAAGCCTAGTAACTTTTCAAAACAAAAATCAACTTACACACTTTTTTATTGTTAAAATATTATTAATGACTGAATTTATTCATATGGTTTTGTCATTCTTTTCATACAGTGAGAATAAAGCTGTAAATAATTCATGTGTAAAATTTATTTGAAAACTTGTTTCTGAAGAAGTATAAAATGCTTTACAATAAAGTTATTAGAAACACCCATGAATTTTTAGGTAACAAAATATGAAGTATGCATTTTAAATTATTATGACATTTAGCTTCTGTTGAAATGAAAGAAACCTTTAGCCAGGAAAAATTACTTAAAGATTTTAAGATTTAAATTATCAGTGCTTGGCAGTAAAATAAATTATATACGGAATACATTATTTGTGATCAGATAGTATTTGGCTGTTATTTGCTTTCACTACAGATGGTGTTCAAATATTTTTGTAATGATTTTGCAAAGATTTATATATAAACAAACTTCAGAATTTTATTTTCTGATATGTTCAGTATGATAGCCCTTTTGCTAAACTATCATAATTTCATCTTGAGTTCCAAAATATAAGTCCTTTTGTTAAAACATCAAGGTTGACTTTATTCCACTGCACCTTCACAATCTTCCAGAGTACATCCAATGTTTTGGCATGCCGCTTATAAAAACCTTGTTTTAAAAGTTTAAGTGCCCAGTAATCCATAGAAGACACATCAGGGGACTTGGGTGAGATGCATTTTTTAAGCGAATAGTTTTAATTCCGGTTTCGTTTCTTTTTCTTTTCTTTTCTTTTTTTTTTTTTCAGAAAATAGAGCAGTAGATTTAGAGGTATGGTTTGGAGTGTTATCCTGATGGAACTGAACACAGTAAAGATTGTTTGGATAAAGAAATGGAATTTCTTCTTTAAAAATGTGTTAAAACACATTTTTAAAGAAGAAATTCCATTTCTTTTTTAATGTGTTAAAACACATTTCTGATAGTAATTCGAATTAATTTTGACATTTTTTTCTACTTTCCTTTTTTTAAGTTTAAGATAAGAGAATCCAATAAAACCATAAAACCTTTAGAAAAACTATCCTTCTTTTCTCTGAACCAATATATTACGCCTTTTTCTCCTCTTTTTTGGTAGTAAATCGATCATTTTCTATTTCAATCAGATAAGCCTCATAAATTGAAACTATATACAGTACAAAGTTCATAATCCGGACTCGTCGGGACTTTGGTGATTCCAGATTTGGAGGTTTTCCGGATTATAGATCATCAATTTAAATTTGGTAAGATGGCATGCAGAAATTATACAATTAAAAATATGAAACCATATTTTATGAAATAAGGAGCAATTATGATCTAAAGGGTATCAAAATTTACAAAAAAAAAGCTCTTGATATTTATTTGTTTATTTTATTAAACATTTCTTTCAATGTAAGTTGTTTAAGTTGCTTCGTTTTTTGTGCTAATACTTTCTCTTTCATTCTTTCTTCTACAAACAGACATAATTTCTTGTTCAGTTACAAAGTTCCACTGTTCCAGTCCTGTAATTGCTGTGTCGATAATACTAACTTGTCAATCGAAATTTTTTCGTTTTCAATAACCTCACTTTCTTCACTATCGGAAGCAGCCATGCATGTGTAAACGCTTTACTGGCTTTACGTGCATGCGTAGTGGAGGCACACATCAAACGCACATGTGTAAACGCATTACGTGCATGCATAAGTTTGTGGCTTTGAGGTCCAGATTATAGATCATTCTGGATAATGGACATCTGGATTACGGACTTTGTACCGTATTTCCATTTTTCATCTGCCAAATAATTTTCATACAGCAATCTGCACATAGTCTTACACTGAGAAATATATTTTGGCATTGGGTGATGAACATAAGGTTTTTATTTTTTATTTTTTTATTATTTTTTTTTTTTTTTTTATTTTTTGCTTTGTTGTTGTTTTGTTTTGATTAGCAGTAAATCAGATTTTATAATTTTGTTCAAAGTTCCTTCAGAGATATTTAGGGATGGATTTTCCTTTAAAACAGGAGATGCAACTTTAGATTTAATAAGAGCTGTACTTTGAGGTATGCATTTTTTGCTTTTTCACAGCCAGATGTAAACTTGGACTTCTCTTTCATATTAATCATGTCACTTATTTTACTTGTAGAAATATTAAAACAATGCATTTCACATCTTTTTTTTAATAATTGAATACGAGTATTTCTCTTCGGACAGCACAAAAATATAGCCTTCGATCCATTGTTTATTTTTCAGCAACATTTAAGGAAAAGAATATTTTTAATGCTGCTGGACAATAATTCAACCTTATTCCAATTTGTTCCCAGTCATGTTTGTGTTTTAAATTTAATATTTAATTTCAATTATTAAAAATGAAAATCGTTACAAAAATGCATGAACAGCCTAATGAGAATCAGGTAATGCAGTTGGTAATGCTAAATGTAAATTGTTATTTTGGAACCTAAACATATTTTATGTTTTCTTAGGTCTAATATCATACATGTGGGTAAGTTTGGGGGTGGAAGACATGCTGCCGAATGGCACTTTATAACACTTTCAAAGTTCCTTAAAATTTATATGGTATAGCCATAAAACAGATTTCTGCTCTGTCTTGTTCTTCTCCATTTCCTGCTCTGTAGGAAGCTGTTACATTTACTGATGAATAGGTGGCTGCTGAATTAAGTGTACCTTAAAGACTATTTACCCAATTCAATTCTTTTCTTTCAATTCAATCTGGTAGCAACTGTAAAAAAATTCTGCTTACGGTCTAAAGATCTGTCCATTAGTATTGAATATTATTACTTCTAATGTTATCCATTCAGTAGCCTTAAATATTATTTGAACTGATTGCTAATGAGCCTGTTTTCCTAAATGCCATGCCACTACATATTAACCCTCTGACCGGCCCGGAATTCTAAGAAAGTACAAATTTCCCAAAACTACCATGAAAAAGTATTATTTTCTTGATTTTAATGTCCAAATACCCGTGGTACTTTATACCTGGATTTATGTTCTTTTAAAAACCTGTGATGTACTATTTTTACTTCCTTGTACGAAGTAAAAAGGAAGTTTCGTAATCGCGAAAAGTTTCAGGCAGCATATTTCAACGAAAATATCCATTTTGACTCCAATCGAATGCAATTTAACGATGTTTTTGCATGCTATCTGTATGTAAGGACAGAATAAAATACTCTTTTCCTTCAAAAAAATTATAAAACTGCTTTAAAATAAATTCTGAAGAGAAATTTTTCGTGGCGTCTGTACGAACGTATGTACGTACGTACGTATCTCGCATAACTCATAAACGAGTAGTCTCAAAACGTCGAAATTTTGTATATAGGACTGCTATAACATGTAGATGTGCACCTCCTATTTTGGTTGCAATCGGCCACACCAAACGTATATAAATATATTTATATAAATATCCACTCTGTTACCCGGCTCAGTGATCTCAGTTTCTTTACTCTTATATGTTTGTAAATTGTACATTTTTGCTTTAGAAATGATTGAATTATGTTGTTCTTATCTTCCGGTTAAGGTTTTTATGCCTTTAGTAAATCTCTATGCAATATTTTTAGAATTATCAACAATTTTAAAGTTGTTTAAGTGCCACTAAGCCTAATACTTCTCTTGATGGTGGCCATTGTTTGTTTACATTTGAAACAGCAGGATAGTGGATTTGTTGCCAATCAAGAGAAACTTAGCTTCGCAACAACAAAGATAAAGACTTCATGTATTATTGCCAATTAAATCATGCTTAATCCTTTCTGGAATTTTTTCAAGGAAATAAATGTTTAAGATTTACTTCGTAATTTTTAATATAGATATTTTGAGTTTTTGTGTATTTTTGCCTTCTCGCAAATTGAATTAATTGAATGAGAAATACTCAATCGTCTGTGAAAAACTGTTTCTTTTTTGTTTTCTTTGCTTAATTTCTTTTATACATCATTCTAGCTTTCTTATAGTATTTGAATAGAACATGTGGCAACGATTAGATAATTCTATTCTTTAAATGATATAAATTTTGTGCACTCTGAGTTATAATATTAATGAAATCTAATGCTGTTAAGTGAACCTAGCGCCAGAGTGTCGCTATGGTAAACAAGTGAATTTTAAAGAATGCATTTATTCTATTGTGGTTTATGTGCTGTCAGCGAAGTAGATTTAATTCAGTCCAGTAAGTTTAAATGAAATGCAAGAAAAAATGCATATAATTTAATATTCCGTACAAGGAAGTCATGTGGTGTACACATCAGATTTTTTCCTTTGTTTAAATGTTTGTGTGTAGTACCTTAATTTATTACTTTTATAGAAATTACAATTCAGGTTTAAAAAGTTGCAATAAAATAGTAAGAAGTATAGTGTTGCCTAATTTTGTAAAATATATTGCTAACATTAATTTGTAGGCATACTTTTCATTTAATTTTAGTTTCATTTATTGTATTATATCATTATTTATTGTATTAAGTTAGTCTTGTGCTTTTAGATAGCATACTGTTTTATTTTACCTTGATTAATTAATAATAGTTTTAGATATAAAATGTTTTACACATGCAAAAATCGTGATATAAATTCATGTTGTTTTCTTCTTGATAAAATTCAATCATAAAATTACTGTATGCTAATTAAGAGCTGTTTATGTGTTAGAGTTCCTCCCAATTTGCGCAATGTTGTATATGCTGCTGGTGTGAAATATGGAAGTAAAGAAGAGTGGCAGTTCTGCTGGAAACAATATCAAGAAACTCAGGTGCCATCTGAAAAACGTCTGCTTTTAACTGCTCTGGGAAATACCCAAGACATGTGGCAATTATCACAGTAAGTTAATTTTTCTATTTACGATCATCTTTAAATTTTGGGGGCTTTATTTCGTTACAAAATTTTCAAAATGTTAGCCCCTTAATGTACTAAAAAAGTGCAGAAAATTTTTTTTTCGCCCAATTTTTTTATTCTTTATCTTAACTCAACCTCTTAAATTCTTTATTTCAATTTTAATTCAAATTGTAGTGGATATATTCTGTTGCATTCATATCCGAAAATTTAAAAAAAATCCTGAATGTATTTACTATGCTGTTCAGATATACACTACCCAGCATTGAAAATGTAACACCAAGGATTAGTGGCTGTAAAATTATGCAAATTTCAGGGTAGACGCACGTCACCGGGTTATGCGAATGATGTAAAATATGCAGCTCTGCAGCGCACATTGAAGAAGATATAAGGGAAGGAACCTACAGAATGTCGTTATTTATGCTAGGGAAAAACATCGTAGAAAATTTGTTCTTGTCTCAGAGGATGTGTGTAATAAAAGAGTGCCAGGCTGTCATTAACAGGGGCAGTTCCAGCAGAAAGGCGATTTTAGGAGGAGCATGGTAATCTAACTAAGAAGGGCAGGTTTGCTCATATGGCAAATATCAGCTGACACACATCTGGATGCGTCTACGGTGCACCAGCTATGGCAACAATTGTTGAAACAAGGAAATATAGTAACTTCGAAAGGTGCTGGTGCAGCCAGAGTGACGTCAGAGAATGTGGATAGGTGCATCTGCTGACAGGCGGGGGTGCACCTGCAAGCCACTTCTACCTCTATTCTGCAGCATGTTCAAGACACCCTGGATGTTCCCATATTGACCAAAACTATTTGCCACCATCAGTTGGTGGTTGGTGGCTTGCAGTTGTGGTTTCCATTAAGAAGTCTACCATTTAGCCTAATCATAGATGCCAGTGTCTGCAATGGTGCAGGGCTCGAGCAATGTGGACAACGAAATAGCAATAATAATGTTCTCAGGTTAGTAATGTTTTTTTTTTTTTTTTTTTTTTTTTGAATGATAGTCGTCACATACGAGTATGGCGTTGGTGTGAAAACAGGTCCAATCCGGCAGCCCCACTGCATGATAGTGCGGCATCATGGTTTGGGACACAACTGCATATGATTTCAGTTCACCTCTAGTTTGTATTCAGAGCACTATGACAGCCCAACGATATGTAGATGATGTGCTGCAGCCAATGACACTCCTCTACGTTCAAGGAGTGCCCAGTGCCTTTTATCAGCAGGATAATACCCTGCCACTCACTGTTCGCATCAGCCAACATGCTCTGCTAGGTGTATAGATGCTTCCGTGGGCACTGTTCTCTCCTGATCTCTCACCAATCGAACACATTTGGGATGTGATTGGACACCTTTTGCAGACCCTGCCATTGCTGCATTAGTAAGACAAACTGTGGCAAATGGGTTGACAGGAAATGAAGAGCCATTCCTCAGGACACCGTCTGTAGTCTCATTGACTCTGTATGGAGACATATTGCTTTATGTATCATCATCCAAGGTGGTAGCATACCAATAGCCGTAACCTCAGAATAATAAAAAATGAAGTGATGTATAAAAATGGCAAAATAAATAAAGTAACCTAATGAGCCGACGCTGTTCTCTCTCTGTATTATTTATATCATTTTGAAATAAAGATCACTTATTGTTCGTTGCTGTCTCTCTATTTGTCAAATTTCATCACTTTCTGGCCACTCCTTGATGTTGCATTTTCAGTGTTGGGTAGTGCAATTTAGTTCAGTGTACCTGAGTTAACCTATTTTTAATGCATTAATCCTTTTGAGACTTTCTAGTCCCCCTGCTTGTAATAACTTGAGATTTAGTGTTTGAGAGATTTTATTTGCTGTTCTTTGTTGGGTGTTGCTTTTTTTCACTCTTCAAATGACTTGGAATGTCATTGAAGAAACTTCTTTCAGGGAGGAAAAACACACAGAAGCTACTTGGGAGTTTTTTCAAAATAAACTTTCATAATGACTATTTTGTATCCTAGGTAGAGATAATAATTTTTTCATCTACAATTTATGCAAACTAAAATTTTTGGTGTTTTTGGAGAGGATGAGCTTCTTCATTGGGTTGACCAGAATTTAAACTGTGGTTAAAGGTAACTGCACCAAGTTTCATCAGATTATTCAAGACAGATATCTTTTACCTTTATCAACAAACCTTTGTTTTGATAAAATCATATCAAGCAGTAAGAAACCCATTGAGCCCAAGATTTCCTCTTCCCCAAGCTTTTCTCAAAATATGATATGCTGATATTGGTGACTTCACTGTAGCTTGAAATATTTCTCTGCATATTACTCAATGATCTTCTTCTTTTTTAGCATATTTGCAAGTATCATATTTTTTCCTTCTGTCATATATTCATCATCTGGCCTGTCTTTAATGTTCCGATACATTCTTCATGAAAGCAGGTAGCTCAATAAAAGATTAAACATTGGTTTATAAACTTCAATAGTATTCTAAAATTTCAATTCATTTGGAATTTTGCCTTGTAAATTTTGAATTTTGAAATACAATGTTTGATTTCCTACATCCATAGTACACTAGACATCTACAAAAACTATATTTCAAACTCTTATCCCTTCAAAATTTTGTATTCTAGGGACCTTAACTGGACACTTGCTTTTATTTCAAACTTTCAGCTGCAATTTACAAATCTATGCTACTTGTCCTGCCATCAAGGGTTACCAGAAACTAATATAAGATTTCTTATACGGTATATATGTCAAAATATGTCTGTCAAATTTGATTGGAAGACTTGTAGTGGCACCTTCAAATCTGAAACCCACCTAGTAGTACAACAGCAAACAAGTTTGTACCAAAAGGTATAATTTATGAAAATTACATGAAATAAAAAATGAAAATATAAGAAAAAGTTATACCCATTATATATAAACAGCAGAATTCTTCATTCTTCAACTAATATGTAACATTCAGGATGTTTAATTATACTTAACATCCTTCTTCCTATTTATTCCATGCTAAAATTCACAAGATCATTAGTTGATTGTTCCTCCATATAGTTTGAAGCAGAATTGACTTTAGAATAATGTTAGTAACATTGCCATCTGATCTACAACAAAGACGTGTACAATATTTTATATTAAATCTTTCACAATATATCAGAAAATGTTTATGGTTAGTAAAAACTTGATTCAGATATCTATTTGAAGTACACATTCTGCAAGGCATTTTTACAGGAATATTAGTATGAATCTTCCTTTGTGTAGCTGATTGTGGTGACTTTGAATTTACAAACATTTTAATTACCATTTGACTAAACAAAACAGAATATTTATTAAAATAGCATTAAAGTATGAAAGTAAACTTGAAACAGAATATCACCTCCTACACTATACAATTAGCAATTATCTAATTGGTTTATGCTAAGCATTCTACTAACTTAAATTTAGCAACTTCTCAGAAGAATTGGTGAAATATGCCAAGCACATCTTGTTGATCACCAAACAGTCACCAGATGCTACACCTCCATCAAAAGATTGTCATTGATTCTATTTACAAATCAGTCTTCAATCTGGAAACAGAAATCAAGCAGCTGTTTGTCATCAATGAGAAAAGGAAAAAAAAATCTACATATACATTTAAAGATTACTAAAATTCAAGTCTCAAGTTATATAAATATTTTGCAATGAAATAATTACAATTGCACATCATTTTACTGTTTAAACATGGATACACACATTTCTTTCTTTTTTTTAACTCCCACTAATGATTTCAAAAATATTCTTATAACAGTATCTTACTTCTTTACTAAAAGAAAACAGGTTCTCTGTAAACATGTTAAAATATACCCGTGCAAATATTACTTTAATGAGGGAAGTAAAATTGAGCTTACTACTTTAAGAAAAATATTATCAAACTTTCTCTACTCACACTACTTAAATAGGTATATATTTATTCTTTGGAGTATTAGTTATGTGAAAGAAAAAAAAAAAAAATGCTATTACACTGAATCATTCGCCCCCCCCTCCCCCCCAAGAAGCAAAGTCTCTTAAAGTTTTCTTTATTTAATGGCACTGCAACACAGTTCTTGTCTTTAAAAAATATTCAAACAAATTTATCACTTACCTTAAATGTCTTTTACACAATAAATTTTCCCCTTTTATTTCAAATTATATAAATACTATATTTTGTGCAAAATTATAAAATTAATAAGAAGAGAAAAAAATGCTTAATTACTAATTATACTAAATATTGACGCATATGAACAGTAAGTAGCATTCAAAGTTCACTGATAGTTAGTAAGTAATGTTCAAAGTTCACCGGTAGTTAGTAAATAATGTTCAAAGTTCACTGATGATCTGCATTAGACAGATTTCTTTGAGGACAATGCTGTATTTCTAAGTTATATTTCTGCAGTGCTATTTAGGTCGTACAGAAATGAATGACACAAATGCTGCCACAGACTGGAATACAATTTATTAACAAAAAATTAATAGAACATCATTTAGAAATAATTCCTGCCCATGTCAATACACTTCTGCCATCTGGTTGGGAGGTCCTGAAAGGCTTTGGTAAACCAGTCTGTGGAAGTGTTGGTGCACCACTTATGGACAATTGCATGCAGTTCGGCAGAAGATTCAACATATTGGCCCCAGCTGCATCCTTTGTGTTCTCAAGCAAGGCGTAGTCCGAGGTCTTGGTTCGAGATTCAAGGTTCACCCATTTTGAACACACATTAGCCATCTCCAAATCACCATGCACAATCACCTGCAATGTTCCTTGCACAAGCCCTGTTTCTTCTGCATCTTGTTGAACGTTATGCGCCTTTTTGCCATGATCAAATCTGACATGTTTGCTAAATTTGCTGCTGTGTGTGATGTTGCTGGACATCCCGTGCTGACACCTTTGGCTGCGGTCTCCACTTCACTGCTGAACTTGGCCAACCAATGGGATGCAGTATGCCTTGAATGTGCTTAGTTCCCTCACACCAACACCATGCGACAATAGATCTCGCTACCCCATATCC